GCCTCTCAATTATCATGGCTCACTTCTTTTAATCCCTATGAATTTGTTATCTTATCATGGTTCCTATAATTGCATCCACTGTAGATATCACCTGCAATGTACAGTGTACCAAAGCATACATTAATGTCTTGTGTACAGTAACTCTTCTTATTCCTATTGCAGTTTGTAAAGTGAATAGATGTGGAGGCTATTGTCCCGTTTCACTGATTCGTTGATTTTCATATAATCATAAAAATATTTGTATAGTTTAGGAGAAACGGTTATAGTTATTGACCGTTTCTTCCTAAACTATACAAATATTTTTATGATTATATGAAAATCAACGAATCAGTGAAACGGGACAATACACTGTATACTTATATATATATCAATACACTGAAGTTGAAACATTATTGTCAATACACTGAAGTTGAAACATTATTGTCAATACACTGAAGTTGAAACATTATTGTCAATACACTGAAGTTGAAACATTATTGTCAATACACTGAAGTTAAAACATTATTGTCAATACACTGAAGTTGAAACACTGAAGAAGTCAATACACTGAAGTTAAAACGTTGCTTCATAACAGGTCGGATGCTGTGGCGGTTATTCTGCCAGTGACTACGGGAACATACACTTACCTGTTCCGGACACCTGTCGAGACCAGGTAAAGATGAATCCGCATTTGGCTATGCGAACGGCAGCTTGCGGGGTTCCACCGATTCGTAAATTATGAATCACATCAAAATATGGGGTGTTTCGGTAAACTAATGAATCAGTAGATCATATATATTAAAGATAAAAAATATAAATATAAAAATATAAAAATAGATGATATATACAAAGAAAAAAGATACGAGTGAAGAGTTGAGATATGTTTCCACATTATCCTCGCTTAGAATACATTTCTCCACCTGCTATAGCGAACTACACACACTCGATTTCAGTAAATATTAAGCATTTCGCTGCAGGTCACCGGTAACCAGTACGGGACTCCTGCGCCGAGATCTTCTCCAGTACCTGGAAGTCCGCACCGGTTGGATCGCCGGCCTCTCGCTCTCTCTGTGCTTCTTCCAGGTTTGTTGTTAGATGTATTTATTTGTTTTTATTTATTTGTTTGTTTGTATTTATTCATTTATTAGATGTATTATTTATTTGTTTGTTTTTGTATTTATTTATTTGTTTTATTTATTTATTAGATGTATTATTTATTTGTTTGTATTTATTTATTTATTAGATGTATTTATTTATTTATTTGTTTGTATTTATTTATTTATTTATTTGTATTTATTTATTTATTTGTTTGTATTTATTTATTTATTAGATGTATTTATTTATTTGTTATTGTATTTGTCGTTGCGTTGTTGTTGTTACTTCGTGCTATCTATTAAAGGTCAAGTCGTTTTTTCTTAGTATTCCGATTCGGTAACAGCAACTTGCAGGACATGATGCAGGGCAGGTAGCTGGCGCTTTGTTATTAATGTCTTCGTCAGAATTTTGGGATTCTAATGGAGATACAATAACAGAAAGTTAATTATATATGTTCCATCGTGAAATTATCCATTTCTCGACCATATCTGTTCCAAACACCCCTCTTTCTATATATATATATATATATATATATATATAATATATATATATATATATATATATATATATATATATATATTATATATTATTATATATATACGTGGTATATATACCCTTGGAAAGGAGTATATAAACCACGAGGTTTTTGCTCTTCTGAAGGGCACCCCTTTGAGAAAGGTCAATACTCGAGCCTGAAATAATACGCGGTATATCCGTTGACACTATTTACCAGTGTACAGCGCGTATAATCTAGAATATAATATAGGACACCTCATTACCAATCTACTGATAAGGAGAGCTGCAGGCAACCCCCATCTCTGTCTATCTGTTTATCTATATATCTATCTATCCATCCATCTGTCTATCTATCAATCTATCATCTGTCTGTCTGTCTGTCTGTCTATCTATCTTTCATATGTAATATAATATCCATCCATCTATCCATCTATCCTCTCTCTCTCTCTCTCTCTCTCTCTCTCTCTCTCTCTCTCTCTCTCTCTCTCTTCTCTCTCTCTCTCTCTCTCTCTCTCTCTCTCTCTCTCTCTCTCTCTCTCTCTCTCTCTCTCTCTCTCTCTCTCTCTCTCTCTCTCTCTCTCTCTCTCTCTCTCTCATATTATCCTTAGGATTTTAAAAGTACACGGAACTTGCCAGAATGTCCAGAGTAACAAAGCTACTTATTTAAAATTTTCGATCGCTGATCTTGTTCTTACTACAATTGTATCATGAACCAAACCTCCCTTTTCAGTGCTTCGCCATGATGTTCGCCTTCTGCATGTGGCAGGCGCTGAAGGAGATCCAGAAGGGACACTAATCACAGACTTCGTCCGGTCAGAGGGATTGAAGTAGAGAATGCACATGTACTACGTCTTTGTGTCCTTTGTCAGCGCCTATAACAAGTTTCATACCTCATTGTTTTATAAATCCCGAAAAAAATGAATGTTTTGCATTGTCATATGTTTAGTTCCATTGCGGTGTGAATGTAGACTGTATTTGTAGACGTGGTGAAAGTGACGTCGTCTTAGGATTAGTTTTATTTGGTTACTTAAGTACTTTCCTCTTTTTTATGATTCGTACTGTAAGAATGATGACATAATTTACTCTGTGAGTAGAACACTGTCTAACAATATTCAGAAAAAAGAAAGTTAACTGGATGCTGACGATAATAAACTGGTCATTCAAGAACCTAGGTTCTATGATTTATGATGCCGCTTGGATCGTTCGTTTCTGAAATGTCTTATGGAATGAGAATTGCCTTCTAACGCCCGAGCTCCACCAGCCAGACGCGATTCCGTGCCCTGAGCCACCTTCCGGACCAAGGATCTTGCTCCGGACGCCCAACGTTCTCCATATATATTGGTTACCTTACATATGCAATCCGCAAGACTTGCAGTGCCTATGCTGGCTGCGAATGCCTTCGTGTTCCAGCTAGATAATAGTATTAATAAACTTCTAAGACCCATAGACTAGAAAATTGTAGGATTTAGACAAAGAAGGTTCCCCGAGTTGTGTCTGGTTCCAAACTCGGACGAGGTTCAAAACAGTCAAGAAAGGTGGCTGAGGGAGTCTTCTTCTTCTGGTAGATTAGTCCTCATGCGCCATGTTTATTTGTTTTATGTATTCTCCATTCATTCCAGATACTGAAGGAAAATTATTGACATATATTAGCTGAAATGGCTTTGCAACGGATGAAACCAGTTTAGTCAGCCTCCTTTGAATTCCTTACAATTTTTATTGCCTTGAAATCTACACTGCATTACATAAGATATGTTTACTAATATTCTTTTTGAATTTTTGGAAAAAATGATTTATCTTATAGACTTATTGTTATCCGACAGAGACTGAGTGAACACTGGAATTGGAAAGTAGCAGACATATGAATGTAATAGGCATAGATTTTTTATCACAATAATGAACTGTTAAAAACAAGAATACTGATGAACTAAATATCATAAACTAATATGGAACCCATTATACAAATAATAAAACTTCTTGTTTTTAATTTTAGGATAAGTGAAACTCCTTCAATCCATCACTTTTTTTCTTATTCAACCTGCATACAAATACAGTACAATTGTCTTTTTACTTTCTTAGTGATAATCCAAACAGAATTACATAAACAAAACAAATATCATGTGATTCAACAATGTATAGTGAGCAAAAAAGCAAAATGGCAAGAAACATAAACCAATAAAAAAAAAATAGGTTTTCAAGGAACCCATTCACTCTCCTTGATGCATGACTGATGTTCTAGACATATAAAGCATCTGCGTTTTTCAATATTTCTTATCCAATTACCTACCCATCGACAGAGTTAGGCAGAGGAGTAGCAAGACGTGACGGCCCCAAAGTGAAAGGCCGCCATCACCCTTTTCCTTAACTGCCCGTGCGGATCCAAACAATTTTGTCAGAACAGTCATTAGTGATTGTGAATGCGTCTCTCATGACTAGCAAGTATACTGAAGTTTTTCTTACTTCTTGCATATCAATTATTTTTTTTAAACTTTCATAATATATTAACCTTTTCCACAATGATCCTACTTAAAGTTAGTGTAAAATGAACTGATGATATAAATAAAACAGAGAATTTTATCGTTCAGGAGAAAACATCATGAAATAAATGAGAGCTTAACAGATACAGATGATAGTAAATCAAATACATAGTTTCAAAGCTGAAACAATTAAAACCATACTCTTTTTCTTTTTACTGAGGTGAAAATGCACTTCACAGGTTAGTGATAGTACAGCTAATCGTCACCAATTTCTCAAATGCATCTTTGCCTTGATAAAAAGAAAATAATAATAGTATAGTATAGAAATGATCACCTCTTCGCCTATAACCTAGAATCTAGACTCCATCAAAAACAAACAAATAAATTAAATCACATTTGATCGACAGTAGACCATCGCTGAAGACCGTAAACAACATATCGTAGTTGGGGGAAACAAAGTCTCTTGTAACGAAGGCAATAATTCTGAGCAATATATTGATAAAATGATACTCATCTGAAAAAGAACCCCTGTTTAAAAATACAATGCCACTACTACACCTCAGTCCAAATGAAAGACCTTACAAGAAGCAAGGCAGTTTGTTGTGTTCCACGAAAGAATATGAGCTCGCTCTTTTTTTTTTTTTTTTTAACCAAATCAAATGGAAAGCAATATGTGATTTTAAAAAGAATTTCCTCACCATATCTATTTTTAAAAAGTCTCCAAAAGCAAACCAGCTCAAAGAGATATTATTTCTTAACAGCAATTGGTCATCATTTCATCTTAAATCACATTCCTCAAGTAAAACAGGTTTGTCTCTTTGTTTGCATAATGTTTTTCTTCTTCATCACAAGACACACACACCGAGGGAAATATCGCCAAAGAAAAATGAAAAAGCGACATCCAAAAGCTCATACTCGGACTGAAAACCTGAATCATTTAGCTTCTTAATTGGTGTCTTGCAAAAGAGAGGCTTTTTTCTCTTTATAACATCACTGCAGTTTGGTCAAAATCAGCTGCTATGTACACTCCCCCCACACACTTAAAAAAAAGAGAGACATTTATCACATTTCATCAAAAAGGAAATGAAAATAATTCTTCCTAAAAAAAGAGAACAAAAAACACAGCATTCTTTATCATATACTGCAGATATCCAAAAACTAATGCTGTAATTCACTACAGACTGAAGGCAAACTTAACTTCACAGTCTTATTTAGTAACACAGACCACATTCTTTCATAGTTTACAATAGCTAAAATATTGGTGCTACCAGATTACAAGGTTCACACAATCTTACTCAAGCTATTCCTGTTCATAATAAAGCCACTCATAAAAAAACACACACATCAAAATACAAAACCGTAACTTCAGCACCACACTAATACACAACACAGACGAGACTACTGAGAAGCTCCTCCACAAGTTTCACCTATGATAAAATTGAATGAAAAGATCCTACAATCTAGGATTCACTCCCGTTCGTGATTTTCTCTCTCTCTCGCTCTCTCTCTCTCTTCTCTCTCTTTCTCTCTCTCTCTCTCTCTCAGTAAACTTCTCTGTACATTATGCAGAATGCTTCCCATTTAGGGTTTGAAGCAATCGGTAACTGCCCTGGCTCCTTTAACCACCAGTAATATAAGCGTTGAGAGACATTTTGGTTTACAGGATGTAGAATTTTACATACATAAAATTTTGTGACTAAAAGACTAGGTAGGTTATTTTCAGTTTCATAAAATTACCATAAGATTTACCAAACTAAGTTAACAACAGAAACATCACTGCATAAAACCTGAAATAAACTTGATGCAGGGTCTTCAATTTCCTTTCAGCTATTAAATATATAACCATAAAAGATTCATACCTCAAGAACATTATAAAGCCTATAACCATGAATTATACAAGAGACTTTCCACACTGCGGCTCCTTAATCCATGAACTTCAGTAAAATGTTATCTTTACTATCACCCCAAGCACAAAAAAGAAAACTTGTCAAAATATGACATGTCACAGCTCAAATTATGTTGCAATTGCTGGCTTCACCATTATCACACTTTTTTTTTATTCACAAAAATGATCGATTTTTTTAAATATACAAAAACTACAGCAATTTATGAGATTTCCTATAAGGGTAGAAAAAAAAATTCAGCCTCCAATGACTTTCGTATCCGTTGTCCACACAAAAGCAAAAGGGTACTTATGACTTGCTGCTATATACTGATTTCACATTCAAAGCTTTAGTTGGCCTTTCTTGAATATTCACTCTATAAAGAATAAATGTGTACGTGAATGATTCGACATTTACCCAACATGAGTGTAATAAACATTGACATATGGCTTTTAATAATGAAAGACATGATGAAAGGTGCTGTATTCTGAGGGGAATGAGCACTGCCATATTCAAAAAACACTGAGAGGTTTTCATAAATCTTATCATAAATATATGTAATGGAATGCACTTTCTTTCATGGCTGATTATTTTAAAGGGTCTTGAATCTGATCTATAATAAAATAAGCTCTGATATGTGACATATGAAAATATCACATCATTATTATACAGGCTCATGTTTGTCAATCACTATTTTTTCTCCATGTTATATGATTGTCTCCATATCTTTATCTATTATCTAAAACTCATCATCATCAGAATGATGGTTCGGGTCTTGATTTCTGGCTAACATGTAGTTATCCATATCAATTGAGCGACAGTTGTTGATAGCATAGCGCATTTTTTCTGCCATCACCTCCTGGCTGGAGTAGGGTGGGAGTCGTAGTTGGAAGAAGCACGTCTGAGCAGTAGGCAGTGAGTCGATTGGCCGGTCCACACGCATAACCTGCAACAACCATCATGGTTATCCTGTTTAGCTCCAACAAAAATTTTGAAATTAGCAAAGCGTGCATTTCAAACTCAATGTGCTTACTATAATTCCATCCATCTCTATTATACTAACTAGTATAATAAAAGAATCATTGACTTCTTTGCATCAGAATATCTGTCAAGTCTGTCAAACATCTAGTTCACTGGTTTAGACTGAGAAATATATGCAAGTATCACTTATAATCTAGCATCTGTAACATACATTTTGAATAAAAAGATATATCTTCTTGCCAATGAAAAGAAAACAGAAACCCTGCCTAAACCAATATACATTAACAAGCCATAAATTAATATGTAAACCAGTTCCCTTTACCCATACTTTCTCTCAATTTTATTCCTTTTGAAGCTAAAACATATTTCTATATTTCCCTCAGAATTTAAAGTCTACATTTCATATTTCTGTACAAAACAGCACCTGATATAAAAGACTATCCTCACAGTCAATCATCTCTTCTTAAACTATATTAATGCACTATACTTTTTAAAAAATCTTCTAGAAATTATATAGTACTAAGCTCCAGCAATATTCAAAACACTGTGAAACAAAGGAAGAAAATAAAAAA